CTTATCTGCGCGACGGCGATGACAAGGACGGCGCGGCGCAGCGACGAGGACGACAGGCATGGTGGTGATGACGTGGCGCGACGGCGGCGATCCCGTCCGTGATGATGATGACGGGGCACAATGACGACGATCACGATGATGACGATGATGACGTGGCACGGCGGCGACAATCTCGATGATGGTTGATGATGGCCAGGTGACGACGTCGAAGCAGGGTGGGTCGGGCGGGTTCGAACCGCTCCGATACCAGTGTAACGAGTACGAGGTCGAGGGAGACAGGGAGAGCCGAGGGAGAGGAGAGAGAGAGAGGGAGAGAGAGAGAGGGAGAGAGTGAGAGCACACACACACACTCACTCACTCTACACGACACGACCGAGGGTCGGACGCAGACACAGTGGCAAGGACACAAAGTCGAAGTCTTGGATTCCCCAATGTCGAAACATGAGCAAGTCACACCGAGTACGAGTACAGCAGCTGAAAACTGGTACCAGGACTGGTCCTCGTACCGTACGGGGAGCCGGCATAAGTACCGGTGACACGTACGGTACCAGGGGCATTTCTGCAAAGTCCCCGAGGGCAGAACTGAAAAATGCAGTATTTGAAAGTGGCGTCCGAATTGCAGCATGGCGCCAGTTGTCCAAAATCCTACGGTACCAAAGGAGGGGTTTGGAAAAAGGGTGCCAGGCCGAAAACGGGATGCAGCTGAAACAGCAAAAGATAGACCAGGGATCGAGCCCTGGCGAAGTCCGTAACAATCACGTCCCACAGTCAAAGGTCACGTCCCACAGACCAAAAAGCAGCAGCACACCAAGGAAAACTCAGGGATGTACCGGGCCTCAACATTCTGAAAGCAAGCAGGCTCCAGGCAGCCGGTACCGGGTCCAAGTCAAGCCAAGAGAAGCAAAGGCGGGGACGAGTCAAGGCCCAGTCCAAGACAATATAGAGACTGGCCAGCCACACCTCGAACAGATTGCTCATTTGCGAGAAGTGTGGAAGTGGTGCTGAGCGCTTGTGCGCTATTTGGAAGTGACCAGCGCTAGAGCTCTGGCTGAGCAGCACTGCGCTGTGGAAGGGAGGCGGCCATAGCCACTCAGCGTAGTAGTAGGAGTAGAGCTGAGTAGCAGTCGGGCGTATGCAGAGTCACGATCTTCATGTGGAGAGTGAGAGAGAGGGGGGGCGAGAGAGAGAAACTGGACACATGCATAAAAGTGAGTGAGAGAGGAAGGGAGACAGAGGGAGAGGGAGTCACCTACCTGGATGAGGATGCTGGATCTGGGTTGCTGAACTCTGCGCTGTTGAGTGCTTGGAGACAGGAACTCCAAAGCTGTTTAATATGATAATCCGTTGGAATTTCTAACCTGCGCTAATCTGGAGGTCTCCGAAGCTGTTTAATATGATAATCCGTTGGCTACAACTTTGTACTCTGGAAGTCTCTGAAATCTGGGCAGATATCTACTTCGTTGCTCTGCTGTTTGAGAATTATGTGGACTTCGGCGACTTGCATGTTTGCGATTGGGAATCTGAATTGAGTTGGATCATTGCAGCCTGTTCATTTACTCATTATTTTTTTATTGCCGGATTGCGAATGCACTAGTATCATCCAACCAGTTCTAGGACGGATGTGACTATTTCACCCACATCTAGCTATAATCGCCCCAGCTATATCAGATGAAGTACTATTGTTGCCTCCTGCTCTTTTGAAGTACTGTTGTTGTCTCCTGTTCAAACCAAAAGCAGAAATGTCACTGCAATAAAAATAAAAGTGTCATTGCCTGTACAGTGTTAAAAATAGGAATTAAAAAACGAAATACTGCCCCTCGGGGTGGCCAAAAGCCGTCATCATACCCAAGAGTCTAGCTGTTGCATACTAGTGAATACGGTCACCAAGCCTGGGCAGAACCAAAGATCAACCAATATAGGATGAGCATGTATGCAGCGGAAGTCTGAGAAATGGACTGACTCACATAGACTGAACTCACCTAGACATCACTCAACACACAAGCAATCATGAGATGGTGGGGTCTGAATCCATACATAGACGATGCTTCAGCCCCATACAACCATACACAGATGAATGGTGGGAGGCGAGACGATGGAGGTGGGAGATATAGACAGCACCAGATGTCACCGAGATAGAATCCAGAAGGTCACCGATACGGTAGCCCAAAATGTCACCGAACAGAGTGTCGTAGACATAAGTCACCAATGTCGGAGGTACAGAACTCTACTGTAACCGATGTCCGATCTGTGATGCCTTCAGGTACCAATCCCAGAGATCTCCAATGTCTCGAATCCAGTAAGTGTCACATCCTCCTACTACGAAGTCCAATGTCCAACTCGTATCAATGGTCTCCAGTCTGAAGAAGAAGAAGAAGTCTGAAGAGAAGAAGGAGAAGAAGAAGTCTGAAGAAGAAGAGAAGAAGGAGAAGAAGAACTCTGAAGAAGAAGAGAAGAATCCGAGAGGGGCAGAGGGGAGGTGGAGAGGTCGAGTCCGCGCCCAGGCTCCTACCTGCGGATGCAAGCTGGCGCCTTGGAACTGTCGAAGACCCGCGGCTCCAACCTGGAGCTATGGCGCTGCGCAGGTAAGCCGATAAGTGTCCGTCCGCCACCTCCAACCGTCACTCAGCGCTAATCAGCGCTGTTGTGCTCTGGGCTGCGCGCAGCGCCACTCCGCAACTGCCGCCGTACTCATCCGGGATCCCCGAACAGACCGCCGCTGGGTGCTAAGTACCGTGGTGGTCTGTTCAGCCTTGCTGCTTCGAAACAGTGCCGTGGTCTGAACCGTCAGATCCGGTTGCCGATCTGCGGTTTCAGATCGGCCTTGCGGGCGACAGCCTCAAGGGCGCCGCCGGTCCAAACGGTAATATCGTTTGGACCGTGTCCGCTTGGGCCTGTGCGACGGGGCCTACCGGGCGGCCTTCCGCCTAAAGGTCCGGCCTTTGGACCGGACCGGCCTGGACTATCAGGTCCAGGCCTGTGGTACCCCTAGGCCTAGTGGCCGGGTCCGAAAGGGACCCGTGTGACATGCAGTATGTAACACTAGCTCAGTGGGTACACCCATGAACTGTTGAAATATAGACCTGTGTTCGAATCCAGATGATGGAACTTGAGTAAAACCAACTACTAATGAATTGCCTGGGGCTGGTCAGCTCAATGATGATATCTCAAGGCTGTTGCCCTTTATAAAAAAAAAAGAAGAAAAAAAAGCCGTCATCACAAACGCACGGATGTTGTTGAGGCAGCATTTTTCTTCATTCCACAACTGTTTTTTTTCCAAAAATTCACCGAAGCACTCTCTCGCTCCAAGGTCGCACACGCACACACACACACACACACGCACACACACACACACACACACACACACAAACACACACACACACACACGCGCGCGCGCGCGGGTGCCCCTGCACACAGTATGCATAGTGCAGTCATAAGGCAGCACAATGCACACCCCACCATCCAGGTGCTCTGCAACTGCAAATCAGATCGATAGAACCAAAATATTCCATAGGGTGGAAGGGACAGGGTACATTCCCGCAGGGATGGGGCTCAAAGTAATAGAAAAGGAAAGAAAGGCTGCCCTCAAGGAGGGCATTGTGACAGCGGTTATGTTGTTTTCAAGTCTATTTCTTGAACAATTTTCCGCAAATTCACCCAATCACCCTCCCACTTCCAGGTCACACACACACACACACACACACACACCCAAAACACACACGCACGCAAACACTCCGTACCCCCCTTTCCCCCCTCCTCCGCGGCACACAGCGTGCATAGTGTAGTGCAGTTGTGGATCACACTGCACCACAGCTCCGAATCAGATGCACACAATCAAGGAGTGACAAGAACCCATAGGGTGGCAGGGACAGGGTATATTTGCCGGGCTGCCCACTTGCACGATTTGATTGTGTGTTTGTGGTTTCGGAAAGCATATGGTGACATACTTGGTTCAGGGTTAGAGTCAGAGTCAAGTACGGAACACTTCTCCTCACCGGCCGAAGTTGACCAATGCGATGTGATCTGTCAATTGCCTGATCCTCTGTTGTAGGATTCCACCAAATGTCCGTCAGCAACACATGGCATGCGGCAACCAAATTCAGCCCGAGTGATGCCGCCTTCAACGACATAAGCATCACTGTCACCTGCATTGAACAAATGAAGAGGCACATAAGTCATCTGTTACAGTCATCATCAGCTCAATGCAAACTTGATGCAGAAAACATACACACCCTTGTTACAACCAACCAAATTCAGCCCGAACGATGCCACCTTCAACGACATAAGCATCACAATCACCTGCAGTGAACAAATGAAGAGGCACATAAATCATCTGTTACAGTCACCATCAGCTCCAAACTTGGCGCAGAAAACATACACACCCTTGTTACAACCACACTCCTTAGTACCTGTCGATTCCTTCCCTGTTCCTCCTTGCTTTCTTCCTCCATTCACCCATTCCTCCATCCATACCCAAAGTCAGATCGCCTTGGGTAACCTTCAATTTTGTGGAGAGAGAGAGAGAGAGAGAGAGAGAGAGAGAGAGAGAGAGAGAGAGAGAGAGAGAGAGAGAGAGAGAGAGAGAGNAGAGAGAGAGAGAGAGAGAGAGAGAGAGAGAGAGAGAGAGAGAGAGAGAGAGAGAGAGAGAAGAGAGCCCACCTCTGGCTGTGTCTTAAATTCCATAACAGCACGGTCCCTCGCTGCCACTGACATCGTTCCATCCAGTCTCCGAAAGTTCAACCCACGTTCCTTCAGATGCACCTCCAACAAGTCTAGCATGCTCGTCCACTGCATCCACAATCACAATCAACCGGCAAAATCTTGGCATGCTTGTCCGCCGCATCCACAGTCACAATCCACACCCAAAATCATTCCATGCCACTGCGATCGTGATCGCGACAAACAAATAAAAGAGAAGCACACACTCTATCCTATTCCTTTTTTTTTTTTCTTTTTTTTTTAAGCTTTCTCATATATGGGGGACAGCTGTATTCACTACGCTATTTTCTTTCTCTCAATATTTTTTGTTTTTTGCCCACCTCACACGAACTGACCACATACGCCGTGCTATCTACCCACATATCTGGCAAGACAGAACTCCATATTAACGCACCGGAGGGGAATTGCTAGATGGAACCCACCTATATCTATCCACTCTACTCTGTGCGGAGAGTAGTACCCAGGCTCTTAACCCCTAGTGAGTGAGGGGTGGCTGGACCCCAGAATCCTGCCAAGACCAGTCAGGGGGGCAAGCCAAATATCTCAGCCGGTGAGCCCAACGCGCGCTGCAGCGGGGCGTGGGGAATCAAACCCACGACCTACGTGTTTGGAGGTTCTGTGAGGCTATTCGGAGGCTCCTAGGAGGCTGTTTGTGCCTCTGTTTGCCCTTGTACTGGGCAAAGGGGCTCAAACCACAACCTTCCAGAAGCGTCTGCGTTGAAAAAAAAAGAGCAAAGCCCCAACAAGGCTGGGAGCGTCTGAAAGACATCCCAGTTCTTGCGAGCAATACATTACCCCAGAGAACCAACAGTCCAAAACTGTTGAAATGCAGACCTGAGTTCGAATCCCTACTGAACCAGAGTTACCAGACGAACAAAATTCCTGAATTACCTCAGGTCCGTAAAAAACGAACAGTCCAAAACAAGGATACTGAACCATACCCTTCTTGCAGAGTGTCAGTGCACTGCCAGAGTCACTTCCAGACCTTCCAGGATGGCAAAAAAAGATGAAAAAAAGCAGAAGAAAAAAATGTCCTGACAGGCGAAGAAAACACCTGCTAACAGGCAAAGAGCTTAGAGCTTCCACTCCAAGTCAGGAGTCATGAAGGTTCCGGAACAGAGCTGAGAACTGAAGCCATGTGAGACTTCGAAGGATGGACAGCAGAGAGGAAAACGCATGATGATATCTGTGTTGCGCTCTTCAGGCTTCTGCCCTCTAACCACCAGCAACAGATGTGATAACAATCATGGCAACATGAGGTGGTGCACGGCAAACAGCACAGAGAGACAATCAGACTCTTAAAATCTGTGTTGAGTTCTCGTCTAATTCTTTACAATAGGAGTGTAAACAGGCTGAGGCTCCTTATTCTTGTTCGTTTTTCTCCCTCAAACAGGGAGATTCTTGATTAAACACCATTACCTTTCTCATATGTGGGGCCGCGGGCCTCAAATTCAAATTCGGCTGCGACGCGCAGTCGATGAGAAATATCAACGGCGGCGCGGCGGCAATTTTTCAGGAGTAGGCTACTACATGCTCGCGGCCAACATATGGGAAAGGTAGCGGTGGTTTAAGTTATGCTGCAAAAATGGAAGCCTTCCTGCGCATGGCGGACGTCGCGTCAATGGTGTTCTGAGACTCTGAACCAGGTACAGGGATCGACGCCTTACCTGGGTGAAAGGCAAACTATCACAGTGGATCGATCGGGGAACGGAAGGAAAGTACACTAACGAAAACAACCCAGAAGAAACTTGATCCTTTCATAAACATGACATTGCATTCGATTGAACACATGATCCACATGTGGATTTTATTCAGCTCGGTTAACTGCGTGGCCCTGGGAACTCGACTTTTGAAAAAAGAGATTGCCGGCATCTGTGCCATGGCATGGACTGTGTGCGTCTGCACCTTCCTTGTCTGAAAGGACATGGTTAGGAAACCACAGATGTGTTTGAAAAGCAAGAATCACTCTTCCAATCGTACACATCTCTAACGTTACTACTGCCAGCAATGAGCTTAGCTCAGTAGACCCATGAACTGTTGAAGTACAGACCCAAGTTCAAATCCTGATGGACCAAACTTTGCTACTACCGGGTACAGCGGCTTGCCACCCTTTTTTTCTCCTGGCTGTCTACGCCCAAAACGCGCCAGAGGCAATATTGCAAGGGTCCTGACTGACCTGCTGGAGTGTATCTTTTAGCATGCACAAGTATCAACACACACACAGACAGAGTGTCTCACTCACACAAAATCAAGTTGAGACAAGATGAGATAGAACCAGATAGCGCAGCTTATATTATCAAATCACGTTAAACAAGAGTATCTCAAGCTCAAGAGTTCAGCGCCCACAAAGTACAGGTTTCTCCCTCGATCAACCA